TTAGGGTTTCTCATAAGGCTGCAGTCAAGCTGTTAGCTGGATCTGCATTATCTAAAGCCTTGATTTGGGCAGAGGATTCACTTCCAAGAAGGCTCGATTATGTGGCAATTGGTTGGAGTCCTCAGTTCCTCATGGCTATTGGCTGGAAGCCTCAGTTCCTTGAGAAGTGGGCCTCTCCACAGGCTACCTGAGGGTCCTCAATATATGGTCACTGGATTCTCCCAGAGTAAGTGAGCCAAGACAGAGAATGAGAGAAAGGCCAAAATGGAAAACACACGGTCTTTTATGACCTAATCTTGGAAGTGACATATCATTACTTCAGCCATATTCTACTGGTCATGCTGTCCAACTCTGTTACAATGTGGGAGGTGACTATGTAACTAGGTAAACTAGGTAAACTCCAGGCAGTGGGAATCTTTGGGGGCCATCTTGGAGACTGGCTACCACAGAGCTCTTGAAAGAGACAAAGAAGACAACAAGAAGTATGAGGTGATATCACAGAGGCCAAGGGAACAAGTTCCAGAAGAGCAGTGTTTGATAGTTAAGGATTATAAAAATTCCATTTGATTGGTCAATCAGGGTCATTAAAACATTGAGAGTAAAGAGCAACTTCAGTTGACAGTGGACTGAAGTATGAATGGGTGGACTGAGCAATGGGAGAATGCATGTGTGTACTACTTTTTAGAGAAGATTGGATGAGGATGGGAGGTTTAGACAGAAGCTAGCAGAGCATAAGGTGGGATTTAGGGGGTTTTTTTGCATATGAGAGGCCTGAGTATATTTTTAGGCAGAAGAGAAGCAGCCAGCGACTGGGAGAAGTGAAGATCCAAGAGAGGGAAGGATGACTGATGGGGTAGCCTCTCACAGGAGGCAGAAGAATTGGAGGTCAAAGACACAGGTGGGGTGGTTGGCTTTGAACAGAAAGATAGCTCATCCTCCGAGACTGCAGTGAGGGGAGCAGGATGAATCTGGCTGGTGCAAGGGCCGGGCATGAGGACTCCTGGGAATTGAGAACTCATACCTGATGACCTCCATTTTCTCAGGAAGAGTGGGAGGCAAGGTCTCGGTGAACAACGAGCTGGGAGTGAACAATGATGTCAATTACCAGGGTGATTGCTTTCATATGAAGGAAGGCTTGGAAACAGCCTGCTCTCATAGGTAAGGCAAGTCCTTCCCTTGTGATCTAATTTCACGTTCTAGCTCTCGTTTTTCAGACTTGCTGATGCCTTCAGGCAGCACCTGTCTAATTTAACACGAGATATGGATTAGTGGGATTGATTGAATGAAGGTGGAAGATACCAGAGCTCAGTGGGAGTGAAGAATCATGACATCTCAGGGGACAGACACCTTTGAGGTCTCACTGGATGTTCCATCCAAGGGTCTGTCTTACCATCAAAGTTTCATCATCCTCTGCTTCATCATTGCACTGACGGGGAACTCACCACATTTTGTTTCCATCTTCAGACAAATCCTTAGGTCTTCCCTTGAGCAGGACTGAAGTCTGACTCCCTGTGTCCCTTGGGTCTTGCAGAGAGTCCCAGAATAAGTGCTTTCCCCCCTACCCTGCTCCTTAACAGCTTTAAGAGATGCTTCACCTCTAGAAAAAAATCTTCCTTGTTTCTTCACCCTCCCTCATATGACAGCGTTCTCTGACCCCTCACCAAAGCCCACTTCTCCAGATTTCCTCCAAGAAAACAATGCTGCTCAAGAATCAGCTGGGACCTGGCTCAGCAGCTTTTTTCTGCTTGCTCAAAGTGCTTAGAAGCATGCCAGGCAGCTCGTGGGCAATGGATGGAAACTACTTCAGGTCTTTCTCTCCCAGGTCGGTCTAGTCAAACTGGTGGACACACAAGTTTTCTCACCATCCCTAAGCATGACCAAATACTGTATTTTGGCATCCAGAAGGAGGTTCCAGATTCTCATATTGGATCTGTCTGTGACTAGTGACATTACCTTTACAGCGTCACTTAAACCTCTCCAAATTTCAGGGGAGCCCTGACAACACTTCAGGTTAGTGTTTTGAAATATTAACCAATGTTTCCCCACCTCTGGTATTTCCCCCTCCCATACCTTGCTCCTTGCCTTGACTATAATTCCCGCATCCTTTGCTCCCTGCCCCATCATACTCCAGGTCCCTCCTGGCTCCTCAAGTCCCTTCATCTCCAACTAAACTGAATGCAGAACTATACCCAACAAGCCTTAACCACATCTGCATTTGCTTTAAATGATGAGATTCTGGACTTTGAGCTGATGTTTTCAGGGGGCCTGGGAAGCATGTGGGAGGGTCATGCATCATGGGGGCTGGCAGGAACACTGGGCTAGCTAGCCTCTTGACTCCTTCGGTGGGCACCCCCACACACATGGAATTAGGACAGACTTGTGTGACAAACGGAACACAGCAGAAGTGACAGTATGTGACTTCCAAGGGTAGATCATAAAAGGCACTGCGGTCTCCATGTTGGTCACTTGGATCCCTTACACTGGGGGAAGACAGCAGTCATGTCATGCGGATACTCGAGCAGCCTCGTGGAGATGTCACCTGGAAGGGAGCTGAGTCCTGCCACCAAAAGCCATTGACAGCTTGGAAGTGGATCCTCAAGCTTTCAGATGAGTACAACCCCGACTGACATCTGACTGCAACCTCACGAGAGACCCCAAGCTAGACCTGCCTAGCCAAGCTGCTCCTGAATTCCTGAACCACAGACACCATCGGAGATCATCAATTTTTTGCTGTTTTAAACCACTACGTTTTGTATGATTTGTTATGCAGTATTTGATCACTAATACATCATCACCCACTATCAGAGGTTCTAATTATTTTTTAAAAAGATTTTATTTATTTATTTGAGAGAGAAAGAGCACATGCACACAAATGGGGGGAGGGGCAGAAGGAGAGGGAGAGAGAGAATCCCAAGCAGACTCCCTGCTGAGCACGGAGCTGGATGTGGGGCTCAATCTCACGACCTCAAGATCACGACCTGAGCCAAAACCAAGAGTCAGACACTCAACCGACTGAGCCACCAGGGCGCCCCCCAATTATTTTTATCTCTCCTAAAGGAGGTGCAGGGAGGCTGAATGGTTGTCCCAAGCCCCATAGCAGAGCTAGTAAACTCCAGCAAATAATCAGTGTCTATGCCCCCAGATCCGGCTGCTGTGTCTGCCCCACCCCTCTTAGCTCCCCCTCTCCTCTCTGAGCAACGTCTTCACTCAGTGCATGCTCCCATCCCACCCCATCATCACCTTTTGGAAACAGATTCAGCCCCCCTTCTCGAATCCTTTGTGCTCAAAAGCCAACCCCCAACAGTATGGCAATGGTAACCACCACCACCACCAGCTCATGATCTCATGTGGCCAATTTGTGACAGATAGAGTCTGGAGCCACAATATTTGCCAGCGGTTTCTCCTGCAGTAAGCTGGGTTAGAAACCACCATGATGCTACAAGACATACAATTTTTGGCTTTGCTTTGAGCTTGTCGCATTGGCTCAAAGAAAGGAGAGTCCTGGCCAAGAAAGCAAGAACTTAATTAGGGATAGGAGCCATAATATGCCCGTGAAGTCTCAGTTTTGACAGTTAACCCCTTGAGCATGATATTTTCATGACCTCCTTTGAGCTTTAGATGCAGAAACACAGCCTAAGGAAGATGGGAGGAAAGATGATCACACGGCTTCGTATTATTTGCGTCCCTGCTCCACTGTTCCTTTGGCCTGGAGAGCCTCCCCGCTCTCCCTGGCATGAGTTTCTCCCACCATTGCAGGGTAAGTGCCAAGGCAGAACCTCTGAGTCCTGCCATGCCTGCATCCCCTCTCCCCCTGCTCCCAACATTCCCATGCTGCAACCCCAGCCCTCACGTGCCCTTATTTCTTTCAGCCTGGCGTAATAGCTTGTCGCCCTCACATCCTCCATCCCCCAGCTCTGAGCTCTCTGAGGCACAAGGGGTTGCATCTAATTCACATCAGTGCTCACCGAGGACCTGGCAGGGGAAGATGCTCGGTGACGTCGGCTCAGTTGGACACGATCAAAGCCACACAGAGGGACCATGGACACACAGTCCCTCCAGTTACGGGAGTCCATGAACTTGAATTCTGCAAGAAGAATGTCTCTATCGGGTTAAACTTGGCCGGCTGTGCCAGGCGGGCAAAGCAAATAGTGTGTGGAATGAAAAATACATAGCAAAGCTCTTCAGATTATTTAGCCATTTGAGGAAGGGCTTGTGTAGGAATTTGCAGCAAAGCCAGGCACATTCTCTTGGGAAACATTCCTAACAGCCAGGCTTAATTTCCCCAGGGAGTGGCCCATAGTTGCCCCAGCGATGTCTTTGTCAGGGTGACCCGTGCCTGCCTTTCTCTTCTGCTCCCATTGGAGCACCTCTTTCTTCAACACTTCATTGCAATGACCACAGTGATGATGGCCTGACCACATGACTTTAACCCATTATAGACAAATCTTTTTTCTTCTTAACAGACCTCATGTTTCAACACCCCCAGGAGGAAGCATTTGGCAGGGAAACCATGTCCTCATTGAAAGTCTGGGTCCTGCACAAAATAAATCAGTGGCTTTTAGCCCAAGGTGTGTGGGGGTGGGGTAAGTCAGACACATGCTCTACCAGTTAGGACACTTTGGGGTGCCAGGGAAAGAAAACCCAGTGCATCAGCCTTGGGCAAAAAGACAATTTTTGGAACATATTCCTGAAAATCCAAGACAGCTCCAGCTTTAGGGGCAGTTTGTTCCAGGGTTTCAAATTATCACTAAGAAGCAGTCATGGTCCACTTCCATTTCTCAGACTTACCATTTTCTGATTGTCTTTGTTTTCAGGCTCCCAGTTGTGGTAAGATGGATGTCAGCAGCTCCAGGAGACATGCTCCTGGATTCAAAGTCAACAGAAAAGAGGAGCTTCTGCTTCCCTAAGTATGGGAAACAAGCTCCTGGGCCTAGCGGTCACTGGCCCAGATTGGGTCATGTGTCTATCCTTGAACCAATCACTGAAACCAAGAAGGTGGCGCTGCATTGCTCTGCTAATCCTAGGTCACATTATTGCAACCCAAAGCCTTCTAACTGATTCACTCCAAACATTTTTGAGCTGCTTTCAAGTCTGGGCAGCCCACAAAAGTGTCCATATAAAAGTGCTAGGAAAAGAAATGTAGTGGGAAAGCACAGACATCTTGTTTGCATTTTATTTAAAACATTTTTTTTTCTTAGGGAAGCAATGTATGTTCATTGCCAAAAAAGTGGAAAATTCAGAATAGGCAGATCCATTCATCAATATCCCCCAAATCCTTCCTTGTGAAACAATGATGGTTTCTTTTGTGTGCATTTGAAAATATATACTGAGTCCTTGCTACGTACTGGGACCTTCACGCAGCAACCCCTTTCTGCAGAGAAGACAAGGGAGACTCAGGGCTGGTAGTGACCTATAGGGGGATGGGGGGGGTTGGGGGCGAAAGTGTAGTTGGACAGAGCCCGTGGCTTCTAACTCTGGACTCAGGTCTCCTTATCAGGCCCAGACCAACAAATTGATGTCAGAGTGTCTGGAGTTTGTGCTTTGAGGGGGCAGAGAGTGGCAGGTATGGGAGGAAATTAGGCCAGGATATCAAAGCCTTCCTTCTAGTTCTGGCTTTGCCATTTACTGGCTGGGTGATCTGGGACATATATTTTCTTTTTTCTTTTAGATTTTATTTATTTATTTATTTATTTATTTGACAGAGAGAGAGAGAGAGAGCACAAACAGGGAGAACAGCAGAGGGAGAGGGAGAAACAGGCTCCCCTCTGAGCAGGGAGCCTGATGTGGGGCTCGATCCCTGAGATCATGACCTGAGCCAAAGGGAGACACTCAACCAACTGAATATTTTCATTTGACCAGGGCCTGGGTGTGGGGTGCCGGACTCCTGGTCAACCTTGCTGAATTAAATAGGGTTAGTGAGTGCGGTGGTTTTGGATGCCTGCAGGGGGCATTGCTGAGAAGGAAAAAAAGAACTAAAAGGAAGGGAGTGGCCTCCTCCTCCTCCCCCAAAAGAGACATACCCTTTGCAGAGCCCCCAAAGGCCTCCCAGGGGCACTGGGGATGGGTGCTCGCTCCTGAGGCTGCTGTAGTCTCCAGCAAAGCTCCAACCACGTCAGGGTGGGGGCCGGAGCTGGAACTTCCTACGTCTGTGTAGAAGGCTTCATTTATCTTTCTTAGTTCTACTTGGCCCAGGGAAAAGACAGGAGAGTGTTTTACTTTCTTTTTTATTTTTTTAAGGAAAATTTTCCATTGTGGAAATGGCATGTGTTTATTTGTAAAAGTACAGCTACAGGAATCTGTAATTTCTGGGGGAGGGAGATGGATCTGGGGTCATTACTGACCCTCTTGTATTAAAGTCAGGTCTGGGTTTCTTGAGCCACAGGATTCTTCCCTCCTAGGCCTCTCTCCTTAGAGCAGAACAGAAATCTTGCTCATGAGTGAGAAGGGAAATGCGAAAGAAGAAAACTGAAGTCCAGGGAATTGATATATCAATATAAGAACTGGCTGACATTTATTGAGCGCTTCCTGTATGCCAGGCACTGGGCTGGACCCTTTATACATTGAATGCTCTCAACAACATGGGAAATGGGAATTATTGTCTACACCTTACAAGGGGGAAAATTGATTCTCAGAGAAATAGTTACCAGCCCAACTTGGTGAAGTGAAAATTATATACCCCAAAGTCTGACCCCAAAGCCACAGTCTTATGCCTGAGGCAGAAACATAGAGCTCACTACTGCTCACAAGAGCCTTCTATTTGAGAGGAGAAGTTAAACCCCAAGGGAGAGGTGGTGTCTTCCCAATACCCCAGCTCTCCTCCATCAGAGCTCCTCCCCACATGGGAAATGGCACGACAAGGCAGCCCCCTAAAGCCAGTGGCTTTTTCCGTGGGACCCACAGAACTACACTTTGTCCTTATTGGCCTTAGACCCTCCTTCTGGAAAATGCTTTCTTGGGTAAAATAGAATAGAAGGGGAGGCACTGGAGAAGGTCCTGGACCAGAAGCATTCCTGGTGCTCCTAACCCCCCTGAGCACATTTCCCAGAGGGGTAGGAGTCAAGGGATGGGATCCAGAGCCCAGACCGCCTGGCTTCCCACCCTGTCTTCCTTAACAATGTGGCTTTGGGTAAGCTACTTAACCTCTCTGCATCTCAGTGTTCTCATTTGTTACATGGCAAATAGAAATACGTACAGTTGGGAGGATTTCATCCTGCAAGATGATATATATAAAGCACTTAGAACAGTCCTTGGCACATAGTAAATGCTTAACAAAATTAGTTGCTATTATTCTCCAGAAGTAACTCATTTCCCCCAAGTAGACCATGATGAACAAATAGTCCCAGATCTCCACAGTTAAACTGTAAATGGTCAAACACAAGATGCAGTGATCTCTTATGTTTGCTGGCCCACCCCAAGTTCATCTTGCCTGATGTCTGAACCCCTAGAGGAACCTGGGATTCTCAAAAGGACCTGGTTGGGGATGCTGGGTCTTTCTGTTCCAGAAGGTTCCAACATAGCTATGAAGTTCTACGGGGTACCATCCGTGACCCTCTTCTCCGGGTCCAGGTTCAACTAGGATTTATTGAGTTAAGAAAAAGGGCAGCGCTTGACATTCTGGAAAAATTTGTTCTCCTTCACCCATCATTTCTTTGTGGTCATTTCTTGAATCTTTTGGACCTGTGTTTCTCAGACATATACCCAGATTAGGCTGGCAAAGCCTTAGCCTCTTCACCTTGATTCTCATGATCGATCACATGACCACCACCATCATCACCACTATCATTCCCATTGATGTCACCATCTGATGTAAACCACGTTTACCATGACCTCTGATATGAGCAGCAGTTCATCACCATAGCCACCTCCAACACTGATGTTGTCTTTGCTATTTTCATTGTCATCTCTACTGTCATCACTGTTAGGCTTCCTCTCATGTGATCATCTAAACACCTCCACGATCACCTTCTGCTCATGGTCCGTCGGAGCCCTTTGGTAGGAAGTGACAGAAACCTAAGTCAATGAGCTTAAAGAGAGAGAGAAAAAGACAGAGAGATGAGGGTTTACACACCCAAAATCAAAAGGGCAAGACCATCCCAGGGATAATGATGCCCAGGGCACTCAACATCCAAAAGCCAAAAGGATGCTTTCCTTCTCTCCATCTCTTATCCCTGCTTCTCTCTGCTGTTCATTTAATTCTCTCCTTCTGCAGACAGACCCCTGTCCAAGTGAGCCAGAGATTTACATCCTTACTGCATAGTGACCCAAAAGTAAAAGAATTTCTGTCTTCCAACTTCAGATTGGAAAATTCTGAGCAAAGTCCCTGATTGGTTGTGACTTGTTCATCCTTTGGACCAATCACAATGGCAAGATACATGTGTTCTTGCAATCGGTCCAGCTTGGTCATGTGCTGAGTACAGATGTGGCAACTGGGAGAAATTTGGTGAGCAGGTGGGTATCCTAGTTTGTATACACATTCACCTATCCCATTTACTCCCATCACCTCCACCATGACCACCATAACTACCACCACCGCCGCCACCATCACCACCTCCGCTACCACCATCACCTTCACTACTATCATCACCACCACCATCACCTCCACCACCACCACCACCATCACCACCACCACCATCTCTACCACCATCATCACCACCACCATCACCATCTCCACCACCACCACCACCACCATCTCTACCACCATCACCACCATCTCTACCACCATCATCACCACCACCACCATCACCACCACCATTACCACCGCCACCATCTCCACCACCACCACCACCATCACCACCATCACTACCACCACCATCTCTACCACCATCACCACCATCACCAACAGCTCTACCACCATCATCACCACCACCACCATCACCACCACCATTACCACCGCCACCATCTCCACCACCACCACCACCATCACCACCAGCTCTACCACCACCATCTCTACCACCATCACCACCACCACCACCATCTCTACCACCATCATCACCACCACCACCATCACCACCACCATTACCACCGCCACCATCTCCACCACCATCACCACCATCACCACCATCTCTACCACCACCATCTCTACCACCATCACCACCACCACCATCATCACCACCACCACCATCACCACCACCACCATCTCTACCACCATCATCACCACCACCACCATCACCACCACCATTACCACCACCACCATCTCTACCACCATCATCACCACCACCACCACCACCATCTCTACTACCACCATCACCACCATCACCACCACCACCACCACCATCACCACCATTATTACTCTTTTCCTGAGAATTATAAGGTGCTGAGCCCTGAACTTCACATTTGGAACCTCAACAAATTTGAATTTGATGAAGTCTCCAGACTTTCAGGAATTTTCCATCTCTGGGAAACAAGAAAGGTGACATGTTCAAGGAGCTGTACTCCTAGTCCTTGGCCATAGGACGGGAACCAAAAGGGAAGTTGTGCAAACTGGGTCCAGCACCTCTGCAGCACTGTCCCTAATCCCTGGGCAGGCCCAGCATGACAGGCGTTGTGTCCAGCCCCAAAGGGGAGCTGCTCTTTCCGATGTGCCAGGCTCCCACCCTCGCCCAGCACCCACAGCCTGCCACAACCTTCCGCACATCTGCCCCCCTTCCCTGGGGGCGGGGCCTTGCTTTTGGCCTAGTGCCTCCTACTCCTGCTCCATCTCCAAGCAAACATCTGTTCCCAGATGTTGTCCCAGAGCCTTAAAAAGCTGAGGGAAGACAAAAGTTAACACAACCACAGCCGACCTGACTGTCAGCAGCGAGCTCATGTCAGGAATGAATTGCTCAAAGAAAGCAAGACCCCTCATTTCCTGATGGAGGGTGGGGTGTGTAGGAAAGACAAACAGGGCATTTCTCTCTCCAACTTCAGAAATAACCTTAACAAAGCTACAGGCTTTAGGAAAAAGAGAAAGGAAAAAAGGCCTTCGTAATGAGGTTTACAGGAGTAATGTTCCAGGCAGTTCTGCGTTCATAGCTACTGCGGGAAAAGGAACTAGAGGGCAAAGCATCCTCTGGATTTACTGGCCATTGGCTGCAGTGCAGACACTGGGATAGGCTTAAACTTGGGGGCTGTGCAATGCCTGGTAGAGAAGAGGCCTGGCCCAGCTCTGGCTCTGCACTAGTGTGCTGTGTGACCTTGGACCACACTCTGACCTCTCTGTGCAGTTTCTGCAGGTGCCATATGCTCGTGGAGACTTGGGGGATTTACCAAGTTTCTTCTGGGCAAGGCATAGGGATACTCCCCACTTCACACCAGGAGAGCTGCTCCTAAGGGAAGACTCGATGACTGAGCTCCACGGTCAAGACGAAGACTGTCACGGTGGTGGCAGGGGTGGCTGGTGGGAGTGGCAGAGGGCGGGGAACAGTTGAGCACCCAGAGACATGACACCATAACTTGCAGCTCCCAGATGCTGGTAAACAGGAATCGGCTTCAGTAAACTAATTGTGCTCTTCCTTACCCATCTGTCATCAACCAGAAACATCTGTCTCTTCACCCGCAGTTGCTTGTCTTTCTGACAGCTCTTCCCCCCATCAGGGAGAGCCCAAATCCTGGGCTGCTCCTCCAAGCACATGCTCGGGATGCCCTTCCGCCCTCCCCGTGCCGAGGCCCAGATTCTGAGCCCTGTGTTCACAGCTGACAGCTCAGAGGGTCTGCCCCTCACTCCCACCCCTCAACTGATTGTTCTTACTCCAAAAAGCTGCAAATGGGACCCAAATGGATGCCTTTGCTCATGGTTTCTGACGTCTGTCAGTGGCACGATCGTCATCATCATCTCTTATGGATTTTGTACTGTATTAGAGCCTCACACACATGATCTCATTTGAGGCTCCCAGGTTCCTCTGAATAGGAATTAACATTCCCCTGCCCCCGGCGGGAGGCTGAGATCCAGAGGGGTAAAGACACTGAAAGCCATGCAGTTTGCACATGGAGAGGCCAGGACTCAGAGTTTCGAGGTTTCAAAGATGGTGCTTTATTTCAACTTAACCTGAGTCAGCAGAATGTTTTCACCCCAAGCACTAACCTCGGCTGGTTGATAATAGCTTCCTGGTTTGAGAAGCCTAAGGGGTGTGTGTGTAGTGGTGTTCTGTAATTGATTAGTAATGTCTGCCCATGGCATGGGAATGGGAGTGTTTGTATGTATGCCAAACATGACCTGCCCCTGCCACCCGAGAAGAAAGAGATGGAAGACACAGATGGTTGGGGCTATTGGGGCCCAGGGGATCACGTGATACATCCCTGGCAAAAATCAACCACAAGAGTTTGGAAGTTCTGTTCTATCCTCTCAGCCCTTTTTAAAAATCTGGATCCTTCCATGCTCCAGAACCCTGCTCAGGACTCACCTCCTCCAGGAACACTTCCTGCATCTTCTCCCCAAATCCAAGTCTCCATCCATCTCCTCTTCTCCAAATCCCAAGTCACTCATCTGTCTGTATTTTTGGCCTTCTGCTCATGCTGCCTGGCATGGCACGTAGGTCCCTACAGAGGCCCCATGAGATTGCAGACCCTGTGAGCACTGACTCTGGGTTTTGTTTCCACCCAGGAGCTCAGTAATAGGTGTGGACAGAATGATGGGTCAGTGACCTCCACCATCCCTCCTCTCAGCAGTAGGAACACAGGATTTGAGGGGAGGTATGGACTTTTGTTTGGTCTTTGTCATGCATCCCCAAATCTCTGCAGTATTATAGTGGCAATGATGGTCTCGTGTTGAGTGCTGACGTGGCGCTTAGCATGACCACTGCATCCAATCCTCATGATGGCCCTACGAGATAGGACGTGTTCTCACCAGATTTTGGATTTTAAAACCAGGTGCAGAGAGGTGACATTATTTGTCCAAAGTCACACTGTCAGTAAACAGTGGAGCCAGTTCCCGAAACCACTCAGAACAGCCTCCAAGTGAGCAGAAAATGGGTCCCCGAGCTGCATCTGCCCGGTGATGGAATGATGCCACGTAGGAGAAGTCTGCTGAGTTATTCTTGGACCACCAGAGACCAGAGGGATGTGGGCTGCTTGGAGCCTCCAGTTACTGGTCTAGGGAAGGTCTGGGCACTAGGGTGGACAGTTGGGCATGGCCTTTGCAAACACAATATGCCCCAAATCCTACTTTTACGAGTCAAATGAACTTATAGCAGGTCCTACCAAACATTTGTCTCAGACTGGGGGAGACAGTTACATCTGTGGCTTCCAAGGGACCACACCTCCTGGATCAGCCTCTTGGGTAGTCCCCGCCCACATGTATCTGGCCTTGGCCATGTGACTTGTTTGGGCTACATGTTGGACATGAGCAAGTGTCATCCAAGCAGAGGCATCATAAGCACTTGCTCACTGGGGTTGTCCTATTGGAATTCTCCCTTTGAAAGACAGCCACCAGGCTGTAAAGACTCTGGAATGATGAGAAGCCACGTAGAGTGGCCCCTGGAGAAGGAGAGGCCATCTAGAATGTTGCAGCCCCAGACGAGCCTGTGCCAAGCTTCCCCAACACAGCCACGACTCCATGGAACAGAAGAACCACTCCGCTGAACCCTATCAACTCCCAGAATTGTAAGAAACAGTAAATCATCCTGTTGAGGGCACTAAGTCTCGGGGTGGTTTGCTATGCAGCTACAGAGGACTGCAGTACTGTCCTTGGTCACAGCCACACTCACTCCAAGACAGTTCGGGACCCCAACTGCTCAGAAGCAGGCACGTGTTCCTGTACGCACATCTGGACCAAAGCCGATTATACACACGAGGTCAGCACACACCCCTTTCTGGGCACATGCACACATGCTCGCATACACACACACACACACACACACGGGGAATGGCTTGGAGACAGCCCACCGGCACTGTTGGGCAGCTCTGGTCAGCCATGGCATTTGCACTCCCTTGCACATGCCTTCTCGTGCGTGGATGCAGAAATGAGCATGACGTCACGTGCACCGAAACACAATAGCAGATAAAGGCGAGTATACGCAGTGAGTCTAGCTAGATGGCAGCTGGGGTCACACCCACCCCTAGACATGCACACAGTCGATCATGGCCCGAAACCACGTGCGCCCAAACGCCTCCAAGCCCTGCGGCTGGCTTGAAGGGGCCCCTGGCGATGTCATCAGTGCAGCCTCCGCACCTGGCTCCGCTCTCTACTTAATGAGAGAGTTTGTTTTGGCCCCAGTTAACAAGGCTCCCAGGGCCCCCTGGGCTGGTTGGCCCTCCCCCGCACATCTGCAGCCCCTGCCCCTTGACCCCCATCCCCTGCTCTGCAGCCACAGCCGGTGAACTGATTGGCGTGGCTGTGTGGGAAGGAAGTGGAGACTCAGGAAAAGGCATTTCCAAATTTCTGATCTGCAGCTCCAAGTGGGGGCCCTCGGCTGGCCCCCAAACCCCAAAGCACTCTCCCTGGAGACACTGCATGCTACTGTACTCTAGCCGGGGCAGACGTTTCATTCAAAGCTTGTGCAAAGGCAGGATTGACGGCTGGAGCCCAAGAGAACTGTCTTGCTCCCCGTTTCTCTACCCAGACCTCAGCTCATGCTCTTTGGGAGATGGGTCAGTAGCTTCCAATACCCAGCACAGGGGTACCCTTCGCCCTCAGGACAGAGTCCAAACCTCTCATCTTGCCCAGGCCTTGCTTGCCTCTTCACCCTAAGCCCTCACTCCTCCACGCTGTGTATTTCAAGCACGGTGAGCCACTCACAGTTTCCCCACAGTGCCATGCTCCTTCTTACCTCTGGGCCTTTGCACAGGCAGATCCTTCTGCTGAGCAAGCCCTCCCCACACTGCAGTATCTGACTAACTCGGCTCACCCTTCAGGCCTCACACCCCAAGCTTAGGAGGGGCTCCTCTTTTGCACTCCCCAAGCAGCCCCCATGACCTGCATTGTAGCACTGTCCCTGTGCACCTCCACCACAAGCCTCCCATGTGGCACAGTCGTGTCCCCAGCACCAGCTGGGGGCCTGGCAACAGAAAGCACTCCATAAATATTCACTGAGTGGATGAATTTTCGAGCTGGGAAGGCCTTATCCATCCCAGTTCTCCTTTCCCTCCCTCGCCCTAAATCTTACGAAAGAGGAAGCAGCAGCACAAGGTAAGCAATACGGCTGGGAGAGAGCAGGAACCAGAGCTTATCTGTCGTCCACTCCTTTGTGCATTCACTCAAACGTCATCTCTTGGGCATCTACACTGTGCCGAGTGCTGAGCATACAGAGATAACCACAGTTGACCCCTGCTCTCTAGAAACTCACAGCCTAGGGGAGAGGGCAGCCACAGGTCATAGGACATGGTTTAGGTGACACAAGACAGACCAGAATAACAGTGGCTCAAATGAGACAGGTTACTCTCCTTCACATGGAAGTCTAGGCTTGTCTGGCAACTCAATCCCACAAAGCCACCGGGGGCCCAGGCCCCTTCTATCTCGTTGCTCGCTACATGCAAAAGTCAGAAACAGAGCTGGGAGGAGCGCTGTCTGTGCCAGCCATCATAAAGCCTGGGAGAGAAGTAAGCAACAGGGAGTGTGCAGTGCATGGGGAATGTTCTGGCAGGTCCCGGGCCAGGCCACCTTGGGCTCGGTTTCACTATTATGCGGGAAAGTTGGGTCAGCTTAGATGCTAGGCATGGGACAGGCAGTGGGAGGAGAGGAATCCAAGAGGAGGAACAGATCTGAAAGAAACTAAGGAGATGGAATTGACAGGACTTGGTCCCAAATGGATGAAGGATGTAAGGGCGAAGGAGAAGGCACCCATCCAGCCTGAGCAGCAGGATGATGCCAATGCCACACACCAGGGGAATGACAGGGAGGAAGAACAGGGGACACTGAGTATGAGGAGAGCTGGTGGGGAGGGGAGCCCTTAACGGAGCTGCCAGGAAGCAGCTGGAGGTGGGTGAGGAGTGCTGGGCATGGGCTGTGGGTTCACACTGGATAGTCATCATCAACAAGACAGAAACCGGAGCTTGGGAGGGACACGTTCACCCCAGGAGAAGTGCTCAGCGCAGTGACTTTCTACCTTGCATGCACACCCCAAAGTGTCAGGGATCTTCTATAAACAGGATGGGAGACTGGGATTCCCTGTGCCCCTACTCTGACCATAAAGTTTCTGACTCACTCTCTAAGGTGGGGAGCCCTTATCTGTGACTCTAGGTTCTTTTACTTGTGAGAGAAGACACCCAACTCAAACTAGCTTGAGCAAAAATGACTCCTGTAATTGAAAAGTGCAGGCATGGATGAACTTCAGGCACAATTTGATCCAGGAGTTTAAATAACATCTTCAGGACTCAGTCTCTCTGCACCTCTGCTTGCCTCCATGCTCGCTTCATGTTCAGGTAAGATCTTTATGAATTGTGGCAAGATGCCTCCTGCAGCTCTGGTTGGTACTCTCTTAAAAAGCCCTTCCCAATCTTAGAAGATAAGAGTCGGGCATGGGGTCAGTCCCATCAGAGCCACATGGACTGGGAGTAAGGGGTCCCCTAGGGGAAACTGAGCCACAGTTATGGGGAGAAGTGAGAATAGGCTCTGGAGATAAAACAACAGGGATCCACACTCCTGTGGCCTCTATGGGTGATTCTGATGTGCAGTCAGATTAAGAGCTGTGGGAGCACAGCCGAGCAGAGTCTCTGTGACTGTCCTGAGGAGACATAACCCCCATTTTGACCCAGGGAGAGGAAGAGGAGTCTTCAGGAAGGACTAAAAATCAGGCCGGAGGGACAGGAGTAGACAAAGCAGTGGGCTCTCAGAATCCAGGATGGTAACAGGTTCAGGAAGTGTGAGGTCGACGCTGTCAAAGCCCCAAACAAGGAGAAAAGAAGTGGAGTTTGTGGGTGAATGACAGGATTTTCAGGTGCAGAGAGCTGATGAGCGAAGGGTGGACGTTCTGACAGAGAGTCCAGCAGGAGCAAATATGGGGAAGCAGAAAAACACAGAAAATACTTAATGAACAGCACAGCCTATGTGCATAGGAGCATTTTTTTCTTAACTCTCTATCCGGGTACCCAGAATATCTCTTTTTCTCTAGGAGTAGAAGCATGGCCACAGAGCAAGTTCAAAGTCTTTGGGTTAACGTTGAAAGCCTTCTTCTTGGTACAAACAAGAAATTCTTCCTGAGCTACGGGACCCCTGCCCTTCTTCCTGGGAATCCCCAAAGCACTTTCTTGTGGCCTGTGCACTGTTTTGTGGATTTTCACTGTTCTGCTTCATGTGGCCATTGTTTTTGCACATATCCAATCTTCCCCACTGGATTTCGAGCTCCTGGAAAGTAGGGTCTTTTCAGCCCTGTGTCCCTGGGTCCCAGCCCCCACTTCTGCAGAAAGAGCATTCAAGATAAGCCCAGTTCCTCTGTGCCTGTGGTAGGCAATGCTTCACTGGAAGGCGGAATTCCCCAGAACATACAGGGAGAAGGGAAGGGACATCTGGGGATAGGGCCCCCCACTCAGCTACTACCCCCAGTCATGGGAAAATGGAGACTGTGACTCATTTGCTTTCTCTTGGGACTGACATTTCTTTCTGTTTCACAACTGGGAGCCCAGAAGTGGCTGCATCTTGGCTGGGACGAGCAACCCTGAATCCTAAAGAAGCAGATGCCATTTCTGAGAGCCTGCTCGGTTTCAGGCACCGTTGAGAGCTTTACAGGCATCACCTCATTAAGTTCCCCAAGCTTGACACAACTGTGATTTAGACCCAGGTTTCTCTGACTCTAGAGTCCCCTGGAAGCCCCCAAGGCTCAGACATATCTGTTGGGATGCTTGGGTCAGGCTAGCACTGCACGTCCTTCCTTGTTTCCAGCCACGGAGGATGCTCCAGCCCCAAATCAGTGTTTTCACTGCCTTAGCATTCCTGAGAGCTCCTTAAGTCCTGAAAGGGGAAAGCTCAGCCTGTGGAAGGCGGAAGGAATGAAACTAGCCCCCCCCCAGGTTCAGTCCCTCCATTCCCACTTGTCTGGGGGTGGGGTGGGGGTGGAGGTAGAGGATCCAAGTCCCCCAATCTCTGGCACTTAACCTTAGTGCAGAAATTCTCTGGCGCCCCCTGGTGGTCTCCAACACCAGCGTGTTCTCTCAGGGATTGCGTGCACAGCCCAGTGGAGACATCCATCACGGGTGGGGAAACATGGGTTTCCCACATCAAGGAAATGCTAGAGCTGGCACTGACCTGGAACTCCTGGCCACCAGCGCTTTCCACAGCATCACTTTCTGTCCCTGTAGTCCTCCATGTGGCTGACTGACCCAGCGGACGAGGCTATAGCATGGATTACGTATGAGTAATAGATGTGCCACACTGTGAGGTGTGCCCTGATACTCTGTTATATATCGGGCTCCACCAAGTCAATATATACAATGTGAAGTTGGCACAGCTGTTATTCTAAAATGGAATCACAACACTCTTGTCACCCCCACCCGCAGTTCACATCCCAAAGGCCAGCCTTTCATCCCCTGCCCACTGTTCCTGGGAGGTGGGCTTTCTCCAGGAACTCAGTCCCACCACCTCATTTGCAGGAATGTCAAGAGGCGCAGGGAGATAAGGTCCTGGGATACAACGTTACTTAAAGTGGGGGAGGTGACAAGAGAGGAAACTACAAAATGCCCTCCAGCCACCAGTTTTTCTTGACCAGAGCCTAAGAAATGACTGCAGGAGGGAGCGGGGGTAGCGAAGGACCCTTGCACCGGGAGGGAGTCTGAGTGCGTGTAAGAAGTGCTCACCTTCCTTCGATGGCTGGGCTGTTTGGGCAGGCTGTTCTGATGGCAGAGGGATGGAGTGGGTCTCAGATCAGTGCCAGGCAGGAAGGAGAGGAATCAGGACCTGACTCTCTGATACCTTGGAATGAACCTTTCTGCTCAGTTTTATTCTCCTGTACCTTGTTATGTCTTGGTCCTGAAAGAGAGAAAAGAAGGTCAGTTCCGCTGCCCCCTGGAGGGCTGACTTTTCACCCCAGAGTAAAGATGTTAAAGATGTAGTAGGTGGAATGAGCCCCCACCAAAGGCTTGGGGCTGCAGGGCGCAGGAGGTACAGAACACAATGTGAAACTGATTGGGGGTGAGAGGGAGGGGATGAGACCCAAGACACCTGGGGGTGGGAGCAATGGTGGCCGAAGGGATTTAGATCGTCCTGCTGAAGATCTAGAAATCCATCCAGGTGCCCGACAAGAACACAGCCACGCTCCTTGGAGGATCCCTAAGGCTGCCTTTGCCAACTTTTCGGAAAGCAGAGTGATCCTGGCCCCTGACTTTGGTGGAAGGCAGAGGTCCCTCGGTGTGAATCCGGAGAAAGGGAGAGAAGTAAAGCCCCCGCTCCACTCCACACCCCACTCCACACCCCCTTCCTGCCTATAAATAACCCCAAGTGTCACTTCAAAGGGGACAGGGAGCGCGGGAGAGGGGCTCCCGGGCCGGCGAGTTGGGGCGGCGGGCCCAGCACACCACGCCCCCCACCCCGGGCGAGTTTGCATAAATAAATAAATCCAAACCGTCGGCCCCGCAGGAGGTGGAGGAGAAGAGGGGAGGAGGAGGAGGAGGGAGGGAGGTGGGAGAGATTAGTTTGGGAAGTAGCACGGATTGCTCATCCGATCCGTTCAGCCGCAGCTAGTGTGTCAAGTTACAGAGGCGCCGGAATCGGCCCCAACGCTCCTCGGCAGCGGCCACGACCCACCTCTGCCCATGGGGCCCTCCATGCGCGCTCCTTCGCCCCGGGACTGAAACCGGCTCGCCCGGGAGACGCGAGACACCAAGAAGGACGGACAGCGCAGAACCAACTCCAGGACTCTGCAGACACTTGAAGGGAAAAACGGGGCGGAGAGAAGGAGAGCCGTCCAGATTCCCCTAACTTTCCTGGACTTGGAACGTTCTTCGAAGTAACTTTCTTCTCACCTGGGTGCACCCCGATTACCGCTGGTTGTGTCTTTTTCGGCTTTCCCCCTCCTGCCGCTAATTTTTCCATCCCCTGCCGGGAGCAAAGGAAAGGGACATTTCCCCCCTGCCAGCAGCTCGGATCGCGCCTCGGGGCAGCGGCTCGCGCCTTTATTTATTCTATTTATTTATTTATTGGTTCTCAAGACGCGAGGGGATGGTAGCGGAGCGCGCCCGCAAAGCGGCAGCCGCCGGTGCCCGCGGCCCCGGGGAGCCGGGCGCGCCCGCGGCGGGGGCGCTGGCGGCGGCGGCGCCGGCCGAGCGCTGCGCGCGGCTGCCGAGCCCGGGGTCGTGCGGGCTGCTGGCGCTGGCCCTGTGCTCGCTGGCGCTCAGCCTGCTCGCCCACTTTCGGACCGCCGAGCTGCAGGCCCGGGTGCTGCGCCTGGAAGCGGAGCGTGGGGAGCAGCAAATGGAGACGGCTATTTTGGGACGAGTCAACCAACTGCTGGATGAGGTCTGTGCTCTTTGTTGCTGGCTTTTATCCCTCCCCGCGGCGCCCCCTCGCGCAGCCTCCAAACTTCCGACCAGCGGGCGCCCGCGGGCGCTTGCTCTCCTCCCGGCGGCGCGGAGCGCCCGGGCCCCGCAGGGGCTGTCTGCGGGGGCGTGGGGGCGGGGAAGGACGCTGCCCTGCGGGGCCTCGGAGGACCCCGAGGACCCCGGCGGCTTGCGTGGGACCCCTCAGCTCCCGCGGCCCGCAGGCGCCCCCCAAGGCCCGCGCTGAGAGCGCCGGGGCGCGCGGGGCAGGTGGAGGAAGGCGAGGCGCGCGGAGGCTGCCAGGCCCCACTTCTCCCGCCCGGCACCCCGCCAGGGCCGTGTGAAGGCCGCGCAGCGCCCACGCGGCGGGATGTGTGCCCGGTGGCCCTGGCGGAGGCTTGCTGGGCCCCCGCGGCCCTCGCCTCCATCCCTTGAGGATCAGCGTTGCCTGACTTTTATTGCCATGTTCAGCGGGGAAGAGAGAGTGAGCGAGTGAGTCATCCAAGGGGCCGAGGGGGACAGACGGGGCTGTCCTTGCAGGGAGTGGTGTCCTGGTCCCTGCCCACTGCCCCAGACCGCTAGGGCCCAGGTGGGGGTCTCCCTGATTCTGCTGTCCTGGGGCTCGAATAAGCCCAAACCTCTTGTTTCTAAGCCACGTTTCCTATCCCTGGTCCCCTCGAATGGTCCCCATCATTTTATGTTTGTGTGTTTTTCTGGGAAGAGGATGCTGAGCTTTCCCCCCTTCTGAAATGTCCTTGAACCTAAGCAGCTTAAAAGCCATCAGTGTTGCTTAGCCATGGCGATCTTAGGAGTACATGAAGAGAGCTCCCCCCCACCCCAAACCCCCCCCCCCCCAGGAAGGAGGGACAGGCAGCCTTATTGGTGCCACCAGAGGAAGAACTGGCCAGTTCGAATGGGAGTCCTCGTGACAGCACAAGGGATCCAGGGCCCAAATGAAGGAGAGGACCCACTGGCGAGGGTTGCAGTGGTCTGGGAAGAGGTTCTAGAACGGGCTGGCCAAAGAAGGTTTCCCTGAGGAAGAACTGGGGGGCCCTCTTCCTTCGTCCAAGGGGCTGTGGAACAGTAAAGAGCAGGTAGAAGGTTTTTATCCCCACTCTGCTACTTAGAAGCTATGCGACCTGCAGCAGATACCCTCACCCCTCTGAGCTCACAAACTGGTTGTGATGGTGGTTAGCATGGGAACCCAGTTCTAACTGTGGTGGGCGCTATGGCCATTCTGGCCCGAGGCTCTGGTGCCCTGCAGCCGGGCTCCTCTCGGGTTCCGCTGCCAGGCAAAGGCTCTCTGGTGTGGTCAAGGAGAGGGAGGTCACAGGACCAGAGCAGAGAGGGTGGTCCCAGTGCTGCCGGCAGCTCATTCCCATGCCCTGCCAGGACCCAGGGGATCCAGGACTCTGCCAGGCCACCCGCAAGTCCCCTGGGAAGTGTCTGCACTCAGCAGCGCGAGCCAGCGCCCTCTGCTAGCTGTCTGAGAGCGCATGTGGGACTGGCAGGGTGGTGGAGATGGTGTCAGGGCAGTGAGGGCTCCCCCAGGAATCTCAGGGGCCCTGGCAGCTGAGGGGCAAGCATTTGACCCTGGGAGCTCCTCCGCTCAGTGCCTCTCTCCATCCTCTCCCCTCCCTGGCCCCCGCTGCTGGCCAGGGCATGCCGCAGATCCTTGCTTCCTCCCCTTGAGACTTAGCCCTGTCAAGTCTCATGCTCACAGGCCCTGGGGACTGACAGTGTTACTGGACGTGCTGATTCCTCGTCTGCCAACCATAGCATCCGCTGCACCCACTGACTTCTAGACCTCTCATCTGCCAGAGCATCTGACCTGACCCCCATCTTACAGATGGGGAAATGAAGGCCCACAGAGGGGCCGTGGGTTACCCCGGTCACATGGCGAGATCCAGCACTAGAACCCAAGTTCCTGACCCCACTTCCAGTGCTCTTCACTATGTCCTGCTTCCTTCCTCTGTCCGTTTTCATTCAGTCAGGCAGCAAGTGTTTCCTGAGAGCCGGCTATGGATCGGGCATTGTAGGGAACACACTTCTGCCCTCCTACTCATGGGCAAATAGGGCACAAAGAAGACCCAGGTGGTGACCCTGTCATGTGAAAAATGCTAGGGTGACGGGAGCCGAGGAGGTCTGGGGAATGTATTAACATGCAGCCTACGTGAGGGCAGAGGCTTGCTGGGAAAGCGATTTTCGAGTAATGTCTTAAAGGGTGAATCGGAGACTTCCAGGCCAAAGGGGATGAGTGGAGGGGCTTTGTTCCAAGGGACAAAGGGAACAGAGTCTGAAGGTTGGAAGCCAGAGGGAAGGGTTGGCCTTGGGGAACGGAGTGGTGGAAGATTTGGCTGCAGAGGGTCAGGGCATCTGAGTCAACAGGGGCCTCGGAGACGTTAGATCTATGTGAGAGCACTGAGGAGCCATGGAAGGGCTTGAGGAGGGAGTTGTGTCTCTAGAATGGGAGGGAGAGCAGGGCAGAGCAGGAAGGCCAAACGAGAGGCTGGCACAGGCCACAGGGGGCTGGGGCCCAGACTGGGCTGCAGGTAGGGACAGAGTGAGGTGAATGGGAACGGGGGCTGCCGCGGGGGGCACTGAGGTCGGTAGCCGAGGGCCCTGGAGCCAGAGGGAGGGCCGGTCCTGGGAGTGGAGGTGGTGGGTGGCCTCCTCCATGGGGAGATGGCCCTAGGCGGCATCCCCTGGGTGGGACCTACAGTCCGGGCTTCATGAAATGACGCTCAAAGGTCTGCATGGTCCCATACAGTTACATGTGACTCATTATCCTTACATGAATTCAAATCAAGTACAATTTAAAATTAAGTTTATCAGTCACACTGACCACCTTTCAGGTCAGTGCTCAAGAGACACCCAAGGCTAGTGGCTACCAGTTGGACAGTGCAGATAGAGAGCATCTGCATGATCGTAGAAAGTTCTGTAGGACAGCATTGCACTAGGAGCAAGCCACTTCTGGGCCAGCAAAGGTGTCTTGGAGCAACTCAAGGCCTCCCTCCACCCTCGGCCTTCTCTTTCCTACGTGTGCTCTTCCAAGTCAGAGCAAAGGGCAAAGGTGAGGAAGTGGAGAGTCAGAGAAGAGAGAAGGTTGACCGGAGGAAAGCCAGTGAGAAGAAAAGGCAGAGGAGAGCCGGGCAGGCAGTTTTGTTAACAGAGTAATTCTGTGGCACAGACTTACAGAGGGTTCCTTCTCTAAAGGGTGCATAGGCACTCCATGAGTGTCGGGGTCCCAAACCAGGGTTTTGGCTGGGCTTTGCCAGCCATGTGGCCTTCGGCAAGCCATGCCACCCTCCAACCTCAGGTTCCTTCTCTTGGGGGTGCTGTCAGACTCTCGGGATATGGCAGGTAGGAGGATGCACTAGAAGGTGCCACCACCGAAGGCCAGGCCCAGGATGGTATGAGTGCTCCCAGAGGGCTCCCCAGGATCTGGGGCAGGCAAGCCATGCTGGAGCAGGTGCACCTGGGCCACTCCCTGAAGAACGGAAGAAGGGCATTGGACAGGGCAGTCCTGGGGAAGCCCACAGCCTACTTGGTGGCCTGGAGGCCGGATCCCAGGGGCACATGCACACCACCCATCCCAGGGGGGAAAGCAGCATGCTGGGCAGAGACCAAATCTGGGAGGCGGGTGGAAGGCCAGGCCGAGGGGACCCAGTGGGAGAGGAGCCTGGAAGGAGGCAGTCCAGAGGCAGATGCAAGCAGAAGGCCTGGATCTGAGCGGCCTGGCCACTGGGAGGGGAGGGTCAGGGTGGGGAGAGGAGGACGGGGGCGGGGAGCCAGCTTGCGGGGAGCTGGCAGTGTGGCTTCCAGACCTCACGCCCCCACTGCTCCCCCATCAGTGCCTCTCTCCTAGGCTGGGACCCTTAATGAGCGCTCCAGCTGCCTGTTGCTTGGTTTGCTTGCTGTAAAGAAAGGAACTGGAATGTCCCAAACGGAGGAAATCAGATGTCACCCAGGGCTGGGCAGTGGGTGTGCGTGAAAGAGAAGGGTCTGGAGCTGAGAATAGCCAAGTCCATGTTGTTGGCCAAGGGAGAGCAATGGGAGTCAGCAGCCACCTTCCAGGTGGGCATTGGGGGATGCTCGGCAGACTCCCCTTCCCTGACAGTAAGAGTAACGGCCTCCCCTGATGGGAGTGTCTCACGTTTATATGGTACATCCGGCAGCCAATGCTGTACGTGATACCTCTTCCAATCCTCACGGCCTCCCTAAGGGGTGGACACTCTCATCGCCCCATTTTACAGATGAGAAGACTGATGTCACTGTACCCTCCAACCTGCTATCAATGATCTAATCCTTTGGGTGTTAAGGGCGTTTTCCACCTCCAGGAATTTCCTGGGGGTTGGGGGGTGTTGAAGCTTCCAGGCTAAAATGTTGAGGAACCTGGGGCAGACTCTCTCATCCCTAAAAACAACAATGCCCACCACTGTAACAGAAATGTCTCCCATTTATAGGGTGTGTACAGGGGTCTTTTATTGATTTTCTTTTTTTTTCCCAGAGGGGCATTCAGGGGAAAGATCAAAGCGGTGTCTGAAAGACTGGGCTCCAGATGGGGGAGTCCTATCTCAGTCCCCTAGGATGGAAATGCTGGAACGGGGATGGCAGTGGGGCCTTACGGGGGATGTATGTGCGCTGCGGTGTGACCTGGGCCTCGGGAATCAGATAGACCCTGGATCCAAGCACCCGCGCATGCAGCCAGCCATGAAGCCAGCCTCCACTGCGTCTGACTCTGCGTGTATCGGTGCATGAGTGATCTTGTGGGGAGTTAATGGAGGGAAGATCCTCAGAGCCCCTCAGTCCCAGCCCCCTCTCTTCTGTTTTCTAAGAAAACTGGTCTGAAGTCTCTGCAACCAGGTTCCACACCACACCTTCTCCCTCCCATGTAGTTAGTTGTCTGGTCAAGTGGTGGTAAAGACTGGGCATGCCTCGTGTGCTTCACTCCGTTCCCTGGCCTCAGCAGACATTGCT